GGCTGTTCTGATATCCCTGGGCCCCACGCTGACGCCGCTCGATACACCAGTGTGTGCTAGGGGCTCAGGCATAAGTCTCAGTGGTAAGAGACTCAGCTCCCACTGCTGCAAGAGGAACCCTCAGCCCTGAGGGAGGCAGAGCTGTGAGGACACAGGGTGGGGATAGAGGGCGCCGATGTTTGGGGACACTCAGGAGGCCGGTGTGGGGCATGAGGAGGGGGCATCTCAGAGCGGGGGCTGCGGAGCCACAGGCTGAGCCTCCTGCATGGATGGGGCATCCTTGCCTGTTCCCCCTGCCAACCCCGCTCCTGGGGCCTGTCTCCCCAGAGCCTGTACTTTTTGAGACAGAGTCTCACTCTGTCATCAAGGCTGGAGTACAGTCATGCGTTCTTGCCTCACTGCAACCTCCACCTCCTGGGTTCAAGCAATTCTCATGCCTCAGCCTCCCAAGTAGCTGGAGCTATAGGCATGTGCCACCAGGCCTGGCTAATTCTTGTATTTTTAGTAGAGATAGGGTTTCACCACATTGGCCAGGCTGGTCTCGAACTCCTGATCAGGTGATCTGCCCACCTCAGCCTCCCAAAGTGCTGGGATTATAGGTGTGAGCCACTGTGCCCGGCCCTGTACTTCTTTTTGTTTGTTTGTTTGGCTTTGTTTATTTATTTTTTGTTTTTGAGACAGGGTCTCACTGTGTCACCCAGGCTGGAGTTCAGTGGTGTGATCTCAGCACTGTGTCTGGCCTGCAGCCACCTTTAACCCTCCACCCTGCTTAAGAAACCATTGTTGGGCTGGGCGCAATGGCTTACGCCTGTAATCCCAGCACTTTGGGAGGCTGAGGCGGGCGGATCACAGGGTCAGGAGTTCGAGACCAGCCTGGCCAGCATGGTGAAACCTTGTCTCTACTAAATATACAAAACATTAGCCAGGCGTGGTGGCACGCACCTATACTCCCAGCTACTCAGGAAGCTGGGGCAGGAGAATCGCTTGAACCCAGGAGGCAGAGGTTGCAGTGAGCAGAAATCGCGCCACTGCACTGCAGCCTGGGCTACAGAGTGAGACTCTGTCTCAAAAACAAAACAAAACCAAAAGAAACCATTGTTGAATAGCAAACCGAATGTCACAGGTGCACCACGTGTTGGTAGGATGTGGGGAGTTGTGAATGGGAAGACGGTCTCCCTCCTGGCCCCACTCTCCACCCTGCAGGACCCCTAGGAGGTGATGACCCCTGGGCTCGGGTCCCTGCAGAGTGGGGTGTGGCTGCAGGGTGCTCCTCCTTGTCCTGCACCCTGAACCCAGAACTTTCCTGGGAGATTTTCCTCCTGACATCCACAGAGCAGCTCCCTTGTACCTGCCAGGGCTTCCTCTACAATCACTGGCTCATAGAGGCTTTTTCCTGCCCATCCTGTCTACAATTTTGAGTCCCCATCCCCACCCTTTACAGCCTCCGCTGTAAACGTTTTCCCCGTAGCACTCAGGCGCTGATACCCACGAGGGGCAGGGTTTGGCCTGTCTCTCTCAGCCGCTGTATTCTCAGGGCCTGGAGTGGTGCCTGATAGGCGCCAGTAAATGTGTAGAGCTCTTGTCGAACTGTGCACAGGAAGCTGCTCTCCCAACCATTAATCCCCAAGGGGAGACGGCGTGGGGGAGAAATTGTTCTAATTCTCCTACTTCCTCTGCAGACCGAGTCTCCAGGTCTGAGAAGGAAGGACTCAGAGGGCTTTGGTGTCAGGGGCCTACCTTCCCGTCCTGCACCCCACACCGGAAGAATCCCAGCCTCCAGCGTCTGCCTTTCCCTGCACTCTAGGGGATTCTGATCACAGGCAGGTGTGGGGCTGCAGCCCTGGCCTCGTCTCCGGGGTCTGCAGGCTCAGTGCTCCCTGCAGCTCTTCCCAGGTGGTGGGACAAGGTGAGGCTGCTGAGCAGGACTCTCCTCTCAGAGCCCAGGGATCCCCACTAGCAGCTGCCCGCTACCAGCCCCCACCCCCAAGATGAAGATCGAGTTCCTCGGGCAGGCACCTCACCTGGCTGCCAGGAAAGTGACGTGCAGGTGGGCTCTCTGCTGCTAGATTCAAAATTCTCTGTCAGAGCCAACTATTAACATCACCTGGGTCAGCCTCGACCTCCTAGGCTCAAACAATCCTCCCACCTCAGCCTCCTCAGTAGCTGGAACTACAAGCATGCTCCACTATACCTGGCAAATCTTTGTATTTTTTTGTAGAGACGGCAGGGGTTGTATGTGTGTGGGGGGGGTGTCTCACCATGTTTCCCAGGCTGGTCTCAAACTCTTGGACTTGAGCAATCCTCCCACTTTAGCCTCCCAAAGTGCTAGGATTACAGGCATGAGCCACCACACCTGGCTTCACCTAGGGGTTTTTACAACACCCATACCTGGGCCCTACCTGGGCCAATTAAATCAGAGCCCATGGGGCAAGGCCAGGGCCTGGGTATTTGCTTCATTCATTTTTATTTATTTATTTGTCAGCTCGCCAGGTGATCCTGGCATGCAGTCAGGGCCGGGAACTATTGGAAAATACTCAGGGGTTCTCAGCCAAGAGCATGGTGCTCCCAGGGGACAGGTGGCAATGTTGGGAGATATTTTTTGGTTGTCATGACTTTGAGGAATGGCTCTCCTGGCACCTCGTAGGTAGAGGCCAGGGATGATGCTCAGCACCCACAGTGCGCAGGACAGCCCCCAGCACAAAGGGTGACTGGCGCAGATGCCGACAGCGCGGACGCTGGGAAAGTGATGCTGGAGTGTAAACCCACTGTTCTCACGGCAGCAGCCTCCTGGGGGAGGAGGCAGTCGGATTCTTTCCATTCCTCATCTCAGTCTGTACAGTTGACAAAACACATCCTCCTCAGCCTCCACTCATTACTGCAGCGTCCCCTCCCCCAGGGCTGAGGCTTGGGCCAAACTCCGCTGGGATGAGCAGCTCCTGTCTCCGCTGGAGGCAGGAGAGCGCAGGAGTGGAGACGAGCAGTCAGAAGGCACTCCTCGCTGACTGGGAGACCCATGACCTGTGACCTCCCTAAGTCTCAGGCCCCACACCTGAGAGGGTTGTCATGAACAGGCAGTGACGTGAGGGCTGCCTGCACAGTTGGCGTCAGGTTAAATACATAACCTGATAAATAAGGAAATCCCCAGTTCTCCTTTGAGGAAACAGAAGCCCAGAGAAAAGCTGATCTCCACTAGTGTCATCCCTTCTGCACCCTTCCAGAATAAGAAGGCAGGGTGAGGGCAACTGCCTGTCATCCCTAGGGACTTCTGCGGCCACCATTAGAGGAGACAGTTCACAGCGGCTCTGCCCCAGAGCTCCCTGGAGAGGAGCAGGACATAGGACGCTCAGCAGCCCAGGAAATGGCCCCTTGGGACCTTCAGGAGCTGCTGCACTTCCCCAGGGACCCGCTGACTCCTGAGGGGCTGGGACGCAGGGAGTCCCTGGGAAGGGCAGGAACTGGCAGTGCAGGGGAGATAGATATGAATCAAATCTGCACAATCATGAAAGGGAACCTGGCTCCAGGGCAGGCACAGCTGGGCTGGGAGGTGACTGACAGAGGGAGACACTGTGCCGTGGGGTCTCGGAGCGTTCGTTCTTAGTCGCCTAGGCTTGTCCATCTCAGTTCCTCAGGAGCCTAGGTCTGGTCCCTGCCTCCCTACACCCAGCGAAGGGACGGCACACAGCCAGGCATGATGATTTGCCCACAGCCAGCTTGTTGAGCCCCCTCCCCATCCTGCCCTGAAGTCTCTGAGCTCTTCCTGGCTTTCTAGCCCCTCCCCAGGGATGTGCCCTCAGCAGACAGCCACCTGCACAGGCCTCCCCCAGCCCAGCAGTTGGGGCAACAGCTTTGATGGGCACGCCCACCACCCCAGCACCGGCCAGCAGCAGGTCCCATCCTGCCTCTGGAGGGTGGACGAGTGGAAGGAACGTCCTGCCCCTTCTCTTTGTTAGAGGCGGGGGAGTGGGGGACATGATACATTTCCTGCCTGTCGGTCTGGACTCTATAAGGTCAGGGGAATCTAAAGATCGCTCCGTTTTTAGGAGTGACTCAAGCAACAGCACACGGCTAGGACGATGACTCCATTTCCTGCAACTCTTTGCCACATTCACCAAAGGAATGTCACTTTCCTGCTCCGTGACTCAGTTTCCCCTTCTAAGCCTCCAGAAATATATAGGACACGGGGTGTGGAGACATTGGACTTGTAGGGTGGAGAGGGTACCACAGGCTTGTGACAATGACATGGAAAGCACAGGGCAGGCATCTTTCTGTTCCTCCTGCCCCATTGGGCAGGTGTCTGCAGAGGCCTCCACACAGGTAGGGCTGATGGAGGGCGTGTGCCTTCTAAGAAGCCCATCTGGCCAAAAGACCTCTGTGTCCACACCGTGGGGAGCTGGGCGATTCCTCTCCCTGAAGCTTATCAAGGTCATCGCCAAACACCTGAAGCTTCCCGGGGGGTCAGAAGGCAAGCCCTGACCTCCTTGTAGGGTGCAACCCCAGGTTCACCCCGAAAGTGGGGTGCAAAGGCTTGCTTGGAGAGCAAAAGGGAACCCCCACAGCCGGAGCCACAGGGAAGGGGCACTGCCTACCAGTGCCTGGGGTCCTGCACCAGGGGAGGGCGGCTGCAGACGGCGAGATGGGGCGGGGGAGCTTCTTGTCCTCGCCTCCCCTCTTCGCATCCGGGCAGCGAGGTTCACTGGAGCCGGACCCCCAGTATGGGAGGAACCCTGGTGCCCCTTTTCACCACCCAGGGCTGGGGTGCAAGGCCGCAGGGAGCCCGGCACACAGCCCCGGAGAGGGGCGCACGGTGGGGAGCCCAAACTTTCCCCGGGACCTCCCAGGGCCTAGCGGGAGGAAACAGGCGAGCAGCGAGGGGTCGGGACCGCCGCCGAGGGCGCCGGGCGGGTCCTGGCACGCTCCCCAGGGAGACGGCGGGCGGGCCCGCTCCGCCCCGCGCCCGGCCGGTGCAATCCTGGCGCCCGCGGCCCGGCGGCTGCAGTCAGCGCCGCCCTCCAGGAGCGGGGCGGGACCGCGGGAGGCGCGCGGCGGCCCGAGCGCCGGCCGGGCCATGACCCCCGCTGCTCTCTCTTGCAGGCTCGTCTCCGCGGCCCCCCGAGCCAGACCGCCGCCGCCACCACCAGCGCCCGGGCGGGCCTCCCGCGCCCCGGGCGCGGCTCCGCAGTGAGCCCACCAGGAAGGAAGCGGTGAGTGCCCCGCGCCTCGTGCCCGCCGCCCCTTCTCCTGGACGCCCGGCTTCCTCGAGCAACGCGGACCCTGCCGGGCGGCGTCCACGCCCCGCAAGCTCCAGCCGCTGCAGGGGCGCGGCTCGGGGGGCGGTGGGGGACCCACGCGGGCCCGGGCGTCCCCCCAACTTCTTGTAGACTTTGCTGCGAAGACACAGGCTTTAGGAAACTTGGCCCGGCTCTGGCGGCGCTGTGCAACTTGCACCGGCGGTGGGGGTGTGTCCCCGCGCGGAAGCCTCTGGCCCCCACTCCCCACCGGCCACCCCGCACCGTCACGAGTTCCTTGGGAATGGACCAGAATGCCATTCCTGAGAGCTGGAAGGCAGCCCAGCGGGGGGCGGGGGCAGGAGGCCTCCCGAGGAACCATTTCCCCTCTATCGAGTATTTCCAAATCTATTATTTATGAACCGCCTCACTTAGGGGCCCCCCTGCGCTCCCAGGGCATCAAAGCATGTTTGCAACCGCAAAGGGCGACCCGTGTGGACGCACGCGCGCCTTCTCCTGGCTGGCTGCGGTCGGGCGGAACTGGGGGAGGCCTCAGTAAAAAGGGGCACCCGCAGCTCCCCCCAGGGATAGGCGGAGGGCGGGGTCCGAGGGCGGCTGGGACTTCTCTCAGACCGCCTCTGGCTGCGGGGCCCAGATGGGATCAAGGGAAAATCTGTGCAGGCTGGACAGACTTTGGAGCCCGGAGGAAGAGGGAGGAAGGGAAGGCTGCGAGGCAAAGGCACTTCGGAGGTAGTGCAGGCCTCGGGGAACGAACGCCTCAATGTACAGGTGAGGAAACTGAGGCTCTGAGAGGCATACCCTGAGTCACAGGCTCTGGCGTTTCCTGCCTAGACCCCACCCACCCAACGCTGTGGGGAGGCCCCTGTCCTGGGCTGGGTTAACTCCAAAAAGCACCCTCACCTGTGCAGGCCACGCCCTCCTTGGGTTCTGCGCCCCCACCGCTGGGGACCGGGTCCTGCGGATGGGAGGAGGCCATGTATTTATGGAAACACTTAATCCCTCTGCCAGCCCCAAGGAGGCTGAAAGCTCACCACCTAATCTCCTCTCGCTGGAAGCGCCTTCCCATGCCGGTGGGGTGCACCCCAGACCCACGTAGGGTGTATTTTCCCAGCCCAAGGTGTAGGTCACCTCCAGAGACTTGGGAGCGTCGCGTCAGTGGACACTGAAAAAGAGAGCAGTGATATTTCATGCTTACCAAGCACTCCTCGTGCACCAGACCCTGCGTTTTCTGTTTTAATCCCCTGACCAACTCTCCAACCAAATACCGGGTCAGCCCCGTTTTAAAGATGAGGAAGCAGGGCCAGGCACAGTGGCTCACGCCTGTAATTGCAGTACTTTGGGAGGCCAAAGCAGGAGGACTGCTTGAGGCCAGGAGTTTGAGACCAGCCTGGGCAACATAGTGAGACGCTCCCCCCCGCCCAGCTACACCAAATTTTTAAATTAGCTGGGAGTGGTGCATACCTGTAGTCCCAACTACTTAGGAGGCTGAGATAAGAGGATTCCTTAAGCCTAAGAAGTTGAGGCTACAGTGAGCTATGATCACACCACTGCATTCCAGCCTGGGCAACAGAGGGAGACCCTGTCTCTTAAAAAAAAAAAAAAAAAAAAAATCCCCAAAAAATTAAAAAATAAAAATGAGGAAACAGAAGTTTGTAAAGGCAAAGTGACTGACGCAAGGTCACACGGCTAGAAAATGGCAAGGCCAGGGCTGGAACCCTGAGCCATGGTACTGAATTGCTCTGACCTACAGTGGTAGCCAGGCTAGGCCTCTGGGCCTGCTAAGAATAATCCCCCATCATTAAAAAGATTAGTAAGTAATGATGGGGCCCAGGCACAGTGGCTCACACCTGTGATCCCAGTGTGCTGGGAGGGTGAGGCAAGAGCATCACTTGAGGCCAGGAGTTTGAGACCAACCTGGGCAACATAGTGAGACTCCTTTCTCTAAAACAAAAAAACAAACAAAATTAGTAAGAGGTTGTAAACCAAAAAAAACAAACAAAAAAACAAAAACACACACAAAACGAAAAAGTTGAAGTCTCTCAATCATCTGAGTGGCTCACTCCCCTCGGCTAAGGGCATTCCAAAGTTAACCTGAAAAGCTAGTTCAGGCCATGATGGGAAGTGGGGTCAGACATGCCTCATTATACTCTCTTCCTTTTTGAAATTCAGGCCCAGCTGACCAGCATTAACATCAGTGCAGACCTTCAGATTAATAGGAGAGTTCCTTTAAGTCTGATAAGAAACATGTACAATCTATTCTCTCTCAAGCCAAACCCCTTATGGTAACCCAGACATTCCTTTCTATTGGTTCCAGGTCTTTAGATAATAACTCTTTTGGGGTTTTTTTGTTGTTTTTTCAGATGGAGTCTTGCTCTGTTTCCCAGGCTGGAGTGCAGTGGCGTGATCTCGGCTCACTGCAACCTCTGCCTCCCAGGCTCAAGTGATTCTCCTGCCTCAGCCTCCTGAGTAGCTGGGATTACATGTGCGTGCCACCATGCCTGGCTAATTTTTGTATTTTTAATAGAGGTGGGGTTTCACCCTGTTGGTCAGGCTGGCCTCAAACTCCTGACCTCATGATCCTCCCACCTTAGCCTCCCAAAGTGCTAGGATTATAGGCGTGAGCCACTGCACCCAGCCCAGATAATAACTCAACCATTTGCCAATCAGAAAATCTTTGAATCTTCCTATGACCCAAAAGCCATGTCCCCCGATTCCCACCTACTCCCCGCTTCAGTTCTCCCACCTTTCCAGATGGAACCAATGTAAATCTTTTTTTTTTCTTTCCTTTTTTCTTTTTATTTTGGCGGGGGGACAGAGTCTTGCTCTGTTGCCCAGGCTGGAGTGCAGTGGTGTGATCTCGGCTCACTGCAAGCTCCGCCTCCCAGGCCCACGTCATTCTTCTGCCTCAGCCTCCCTAGTAGCTGGGACTACAGGCGCCCACCACCAAGCCCGGCTAATTTTTTTTTGTATTTTTAGTAGAGACAGGGTTTCACCGTGTTAACCAGGTTGGTCTCCATCTCCTGACCTCGTGATCTGCCCACCTCAGCCTCTCAAAGTGCTGGGATTACAGGCTTGAGCCACCGCGCCTAGCCTTTTTTTGTTTTTGTTTTTGTTTTTGTTTTTTTGAGATGGAGTCTCACTCTGTCACCCAGGCTGGAGTGCAGTGATGCAATCTCAGCTCACTGCAACCTCTGCCTCCCAGGCTCAAGCAATTCTCTACCTCAGCCTCCTGAGTAGCTGGGATTACAGGCGCCCACACCACACCCGGCTAATTTTTTTGTATTTTTAGTAGAGACGGGGTTTCACCGTGTTAGCCAGGTTGGTCTCGATCTCCTGACCTTGTGATCCGCCTGCCTCAGCCTCCCAAAGTGCTGGGGATTACAGGCTTGAGTCACCCTGCCCGGCCAATTTTTGTATTTTTTTGTGGAGACAGGATTTCACCATATTGCTCTGGCTGGTCTCAAAGCCCTCTTATTTTTTGGTAAATGTTTTTATTGACGTATAATGTACAGAAAGGTGCTTGAATCCTAAGGTGTTCAGCTCTGTTATTTCACAGTGGCCCAGAGAGGGCAGTGGGCAAGTATTTTGCTGTGAGTCACATGGCTCATCCGTGGGAGGCCAAGCAGGTGGGGATTTCGGTGGGCCTTCTGCCCCCACCCCATCCTGTTTCGCTTCCTGCTGGTGAAGGCTTCCTGTGGGCCAGGTGGAGGTCCCAGCCACTCAGAGAGGGGCTCACTGTCCCTGCAGGACCGTGGCTAAGCTGAAAGCAGCCCTTCCTTTTGCATTCTGTGGACCAGGAAGGAAGCACATGAATGCTTGCAGCATCGCTTCCCAACCCAGTTCCTTTGGCTGGAATTGCGGGAATTCGAGTCCTGCTGCAGAAAAGGTGGCTTTCCTAAAGAAGGAAGAAAAGCACCATGTGTGTCGTGAGCCTGCTGGGAGCCCGCTTGCCTGCACTCTCTTCCCTGCTTGCAGTGTGACCAGGCCCAGAGAGCTGAAGGGGCTTGCCCAGCCTCCCCCACCACCCTGCCCCACTGGGATTGCCGCCCACTCACCTGGCAAACAGTCACATTCCTCAGCTGTGACTCTTCTTCAGCCCTACCCTCTTCTGGGTCCTCCCAGGAGGTCTCTGTTAGGCAAGCAGGGCAAGGTGCCACCGTGACTCAGGACCTCCATGGGGTTACTCTGATTTCATCTGGGAGGTGGCTCTGCAGGAACCAGTTCATTCACTTTCCCTGTCTGGTTCTCCAGGTCCCCATCTGGGACAGCCAGACGTTAGAAATCAGATGACCTTGAATAGGGTGGTCAGATTCAGCAAATAAACACAAGGATAACTAAGTTATCCAGCTAAGTTTTCATTGTTTTTGTTTGTTTGTTTGAGGTGGAGCCTCACTCTGCTGCCCAGGCTTGAGTGCAGTGGCATGATCTCCACTCACTGCAACCTCTGTCTCCCAAGTTCAAGCAATTATCCTGCCTTGGCCTCCCCAGTAGCTGGGATTACAGGTGCCGTCTGCCACGCCCAGCTAATTTTTATATTTTTAGTAGAGATGGAGTTTCACCATGTTGGCCAGACTGGTCTTGAACTCCTGGCCTCAAGTGATCTGCCCACCGCCTCATCCTCCCAAAGTGCTGGGATGACAGGAATGAGCCATCGCAACCAGCCCCGGCTAAGTTTAACTGCAGATAAACAAAGAAGAGTTTTGATGAGTGTGTCCCCTGCGATAACTGGGCATCCTGTATTTTACCTAGTCACCTCTCTCTGACCACTTCCAGCTCTAGACTTGTATGAGTCTCTCCAGGGTGGGTTTAGCTCATACCCTAGAGCTGAACTTCTGTGATCCACAAAAGCGGTAACTGAAGGGAATCGGCAAACATTGGAGCCCACTTTGATAAGCAGGGTCCCTCCAGCCAGCAGGAGATTCTGTCTCTGCTAGGCAGTGAGCACGGTCCCTCCA